TAGACTCAAGGAAGTGTTAAATATAGATAAAATGAACCCAGAGAGCAAAGACTTGATGTAAAACACAAGTGAACAAATAAACAGTCTTTGTTCACAACGATATAGCCTTTCAATACTTAACTAGCTGGCTTCAGTGTTCTATTTTATGAATTCTGGTATTGGGGCAGACAGAGGATTGCTTTACACCTGCGTGGTACAGTAAATATCAGAATAATCATATATGTCATATGTTGAGTTAGAATAAAATTTCCTAGTGTGGTATCAACTAATCCAAAATTATATATTTCAACAATGGCTTCCATTATACATTTCAAATCAACTTGTAAAAGACTCTTTGATATCCTTTGACATCAGTATAACCACACTCCAGAAAGGCATGTCACAGAAACAGAATCAAGCAACAAGTCTTTCAAACAAAATAATCATTATGTAACCTTTGTCTAAGCTAGAGGATTAGCATGAATTTACGGCTCTCTACATCCTGTTTACATGAATGCCAACTAACTACATGCAGGTCACCTGCATAACAATTTGAACAAATTATGATTACACTTAAATAAAGATATATATTATTCATAGTTATGGAAGTTATAAATTTCCTAAAATGAAAATGTATTTCCAATAGGTACTTACCTCCTCTCACATAAATAGCTATTCTCATACAGTGCTGTCCTCTATATCAAATAAAACTTTATGCATACCACAAGCCTTCTGCCTCCTCTCCATTGAAAATGACTCATTCCAAAGTGTGTCTCATTTAAACCATTCTGTGACAACCCTCCATCAATGAGAGTGATGCACACTCTCGTTAAGCATGTGACTCCCTCTATTCAATTCTACTAGACTTATCACTTCAAGTTTGGCAGAAAATGGAAGCACTGGTTTTTAGTGGGGAGGAAGGGTGGTAAGTGTGAGATGAGGTAAGTATCTATCAGAAATACATTTTCAGTGTAGGAAAATTATAACTTCCTATATGGTACATTACCTCAACTCACATAAATAGCTAAAATCCCACATTGAATAGGTGGAGGGACTGATGCGATGGAAAGAAAGAAGCATCCTTTGAAAGCGTCCAAAGGACACACCTTGAGACGAGAGAGTCAGATCTAAAGATCTGATGTGGGAGATTGCACCACGTCTGAACCAGGTATACTCTTCGGCTATCGGATAAAGGTGTGGTATATATGGGCAGAAAAACAGAGGAGCACATCCAATTGTGTGGGAAAAACAATGGAAGTGCCCCCAGGTGTAGAGTGGCTAAGGTACAACGAACCCACTTGGCAAGTCAACTACATCCAAAACTCATGCCGCTGGGAACCAACATCCACATACGGGGAGGATGAGGATCATATCATCTTCAACTCAAGTTCAAAGTTCAAGAGACCAGAAGAGATCTCCCCCCCCCCCCCATCCAATATTGAAAAGATGTCTACCATAGAAAAATCAACTCCCTCAACAGTGAAACTGACCAGAACCATCCCAGGTGCAATAACATCCACAGAATAAGACACATCAAGGGAGAGCAGAAGGGAAAGAGCCATAACAATCCCAAGTATCTCCACCATCCCAAAAAACAGATGGAGTATAATTGAGAGAGGAAGACAGGCATCTGTAATAAATGTGTGAGGACTTACGTTGATTGGTTCTACTCTAAATCCAAAACCCATCCACTGGAAACCAACATCCATGTTGGGGTAGGATGAGGTGAACTACAATTTGACATTTCACTTCTTTGTCTATATGCTTTATAGTGGAGGATATCACATCATCTACACCAGCAGAACACCACTGCCCTACTCTGCACTGAATGGTATTTCTGTATTGATTTGTTATTTTGTTAAACCATTCACAAGGATGCCTCCACAGTCCACCACCTCAGCAGCCTGGAACTGGAAAGTGGAAAGTACTCCACTAGAAGAAAATGGGGCATGAAACACAGTGGAGAGTCCGGAGGAACATCAACACCTGAGCCAGTGCAATGAGTGACCACAAAACCCTATTTTTAAAGGCAGACCATACCAAGTTATTCAATATAAGACATGGTAGGGATGGGCAGCTATCCTCTTCTGCTTTACTCATGTAGTCCATGGGTGGTACAGTCCAGGACAGACATATTTATGAAGCAATTCCATCATGAGGATAACCTTCATACAATCTTGTGGAAAACCCCCTCTTAACAGAGTGCACTGCATGGCCAAGGAGCATAAGCAAGTTATAATGGCTGAAAAATGCAGATTTTAAAGGTTAAAGAATATCTGGTGAGGCACTACTCACCACAGAGCAGGATCCAGTAAGAAAAGAGATGGACATGCCACAGAAAAAAAAAGAAAGAGGTATATATATATGAAAAGGTACCCTGTCACAGTCACATGTTTAAAGAGTGAAGGGTGGCAACAAGTGAATGACGGTACCCCGACACGAAGAAACAGCTACCCAAAGCAGAGAATGGGAGATGAATGTACGAGATGTAGTCCCAATGCTTGACAGACAAAGTACCTACAATTGACGGCAGAGTAGACATGCAGGGAAAAAGAGAGGTGCAGGTTAGGAGGGAAGACACCAGGAAGTGAAGATGGAAAGAAGGGGTACAAGGAAGAAAAGGTCAAACAAATCACAATCTAAACCCAAATGGTAAGGGTGGAAGGGAAATATAACTGACAAAGTGGAGTAAGGGGAGGAAACGCGTCGAAAAAATAACTTAAATAGGACTGGCACATTCTGCAGTAGAGGCCTGGAATGCACTTTATGAGAAGTTGGAGGAAAACTGACAAAACTAGGTCGTCTGAAAACAGGTTCAGCTTTTATAGGAGGAAGACAAGCAATATTGGGAGCAGGTAGGGTTGGCCCCGGCTAACAGGGGCCCTCACAAACAAACGCCTAATTGGACAATACATAACAAATATTATCACAAAGCTCGAAAAGAAATACTTAACCAAACAATAAACATGTATAATATTGGGAGCAGGTAGGGTTGGCCCCGGCTACCTGGGGCCCTCACAAACAAAAGCCTAATTGGACAATACATAACAAATATTATCACAAAGCTCGAAAAGAAATACTTAACCGAACAATAAACATGTATAATATTGGGATAAGTTTGTGTGGATCCCGGCTCAAGAATTCCACTCAAACCAAGTGAATAGAAAGAAAAACAATATAGTGAAAATAATTATAGAAATACCAGTAGGATAAATTACAGGTATTCCTAAAATAACAAAAACCATGATAAGCTTAGGCAAATGGAATAGTAGAAATATACAACTAAAACTAATGGCTAAGCTAAACTGGATTATGAATATTAACCAATGAAATGAAACTTATATTATGGAACCCAAATAATGGCAGATAATAATATTAACAAAAGAAGTATAATGTCCTATCTTTCCAAAGTTGGCAAATGGTATTGCAAATGTGTGGGCCCCCAAACTCATAGGATGATTAATCTCTCAACGAAGTAAAGCTGAAAATCTTCCCGCAGAGTACCGTGATCTGAAGTTTATGTAAAGTGCTAATAGAACATATAAACTCAGAAGCAGAAATGGAAAATGCCTAATGCAAAGTGAATACCCAAACACAACTGTGTTAGTAGAAACACTAGGTTTTTGTAATGAAGTAATGACTAAATAAGTTCCATAACCAGGTAGAAATATCAAGTTACAAATATCACTATTGTATAATAAAGAGAAAATTTGTTGAGAGAAATTAATACAAAGATATGGAAAAATATTAAAATAAATAACTTGAAGAGAGCACAAACTAAATGTTAGAACACAAGTTATAGTCTGGTAGAATTGAATAGAGGGAGTCACATACTACATAATGAGAGTGTGTGGCACTCTTATTGGTTGAGGGTTGTCGCATGATGATTTGTATGAAAGACATGTGGAATGTGTAAGAAATATTTTTGCATATAAAGGGCAGCACTGAACGAGAATAGCTATTTATGTGAGAAGAGATAATGTATACTATGCAATAAGAGCTGCTAAAAATTCAGCTAAGCTCATCAACGAGTTTCCTGTAGGAATAAAGTTTGAACTGGAAGTAAAATAGACAATGCTCAGTACATAAAGCAAAGTATTATAATAATCATTTGATAGATTAAAACTTTGGCTTTCTATTGGTTATAGAAAGTATAGTATAAAACATCTGGGAACTAGTGTCAAGTTGTGAAAGGGAAGATGTGACAGGGGTCTGATTTTCTAGTTTATGGCTCTGTAAACAAGTAACATTGAAGGATATCAAAATTTTGCTTTACCTGAGTAATAACTATATTATAATGAGTAACTTACATCATATTCCATACTTCTGGGACAAGTGGTAGATAAATTGGAGAAGAGGAGATACTTAAGAGAGGAAATGTCACAATTCTCATACTACGGTGAGATTGAGGATTTTCTACACATTTCTCTATAAAATTAAGAACTTAAAACTTATATGATATTAAAATTTGATTTATTAACTACATTTTCGTGCCAATTTTATTTGTGTATGTTGATAATAATGTAGATTAATTAAATGTTGAATATACTTTTGTAAAAAAGTTGTGAAATGCAGGTAGGGCAATGTTTCTCAATTACCTTACTGGTTCCTGGAACTTCACAAAGCAAACAAACAGAAAAAAAAACTGACAGAATATTTATATGCAAATGCTAATGGTTTTTCACTATATTTGCAATTTAGTGGTCTGTGAGAGTTTAGAGAGGCAGTAAGCCAATCCCTCATATCAAAAACATTAAGAAATGCTGAGGTTGAGAATACTTGTACATGATTGCTAGATGTTTAAAGAATGAAGTACAAGAAATACATACACAATCACACATACCTACAGAACAGTGTCTTATGTGTATATTTCCTGCATACATTTTATTGTTTAAATGGCAATCACTAAAATGAGATATGGAAAGATTTAATGTAGTCAATCAATCAAAACCAATAAAAAAGGTTTACTGCACTTGCAAAAACTAATAAAATAAAAAGAAAATTTGGCAGATCTTACTTACTCTACCCTGCAAGTGAAATGTGCAATTCCTTTCTCCTCCACATTATATTCAAGTTCACAGCCTGGAAATTCAAAATCATTTTATAAAAAGAGTCACAGAAAAACATGTATTCAATTTTCTATTAAACTTTAAAGAATTACAAACTTTAAATGCAATGTAATTTCATTTTAATAATGTTAGATAACTTGGATAATATATTAAAATCTCCATTTGGAAGAACTCTTTGACAGATGAGTTAGTTAATTCTTTCTTTAATGAGGACTTATGTTTTGGATTACACCTGGTTGAGTTCAATGCTTTATTTAATGAGACTGTTTTAATTCTCTACCAATTAAGCACATCTAAAAATAACAAGCATAAAATCATAAGATTTATACAGCAACATATATTATACCTAGGTAAATGATTGTTGAATTTAAAAAAAAATACAAAATTTAAAGTTTAGCAATTTTCCTAAATGAGCCAGTACTTCTCACTTTCCAATTAAAAATATAGCCTAATCAACATTTGTGTTATCCATAATGATTTATACCTTTTAAAATACGCAATACTTAATTGATTAAAACTGGACATAGAAAAGTCATTTTGAAAATGCACATGAGTGATCATTTCAAAGAAAATCATGATAAGTTCAAAAATTATCAATTAACACTGGCTTAACTAAGAATAATGTTCTCAAAGAACTTCAATGGTGTCTGAATGGTTGGTTAATTTGTAAGGAAACACTATATGATCTGAACTTCACCTTCTCTTTCAAACCATCCTCGCAACGTCTTTTTAGGATCATTTAAATATAGCTCTTCATTTTCTGTGGAGAGGGCAAATGGATTTTCTGCATCAATATCTTCTTCTTCAGCATCTTCACCTATAAACAAAATGTATGAAAAGTTTAGAAACAAACCAGTTTTTTTCTAAAATGTAAAATTGTTTTCTACATTAACTAAATTTGTGAACTTAGTAACCAGAAGCTGTACAAATAAGTTCACTGATGATGCATGGACAAGTCATGCTATAAAGAAAGAAACCAACTATTCTTTACATTATGTCAAATTCACTAAGAATTTAGAAGCAATTCTGATTCACCATTCACAAGTTCTGAGAGAGACAATAATAATCATGACTGTGAATGTCATGAAAAGTTTCCTGGCTTATCAACAAAACAATTGCATAGTTCAGCTGAAGTATTAAGTTATGTGTATGTGTTTAAACAGCAATCCTAATATGTACTATATAAAGCAAAAAAAAATACAAAGTTGTATATCTATCATTTCATATACATTTCTTATATGAAATATATTATATATGTTCCTTATACATTTCCACATTTCTTTATCAATCAGCACCAAACTTGACACAGTGATATAGGATGACATGAGGAAAGTCATGGAGATCAAACCCCATCTAATTTCAGAAAAACTACCCCTCCCCACCCATCTAATTTCATTTGAAAACAGTATGTCTTTCTTTTCAGTATTAGTACTTTATGTATTTTTATTGCACTCTTAATGTTTATTACGTTAAGAAAAGAATAGAAGCACAATTTCCAATTCCTTGTTACAAACGAGTTTTTATTTCACCCGTCCAATGGATGGTTACTCCAATTAGTCATAAGATAATTCACCAATATGAGGTAACAAGACATTTTTAAAACAATCTGTATATAGCTTATGTGTCAGAATTATTGCCTTAAACTTCATCACTGTCATTTTGCTTTATTTGTTAAAATACAAGTATCATTCAAAGAATAGGATGATTTTCAGCTCAATAGATAATGTATTTCATTTAAATTGAATTAATATTGGATAATGCTTTAACTTAATTGAGTATATCCTATTCTTCTTAGGTTTTGGTTATTTCTCCTTTAATGTGAATTTTATAAAAGATCTTTGTTTATATTTCAAAATTAACATTTTCCTACACTGAAAATGAATTTCCAATCGATACTTACCTCTACTCACATAATAGCTTTTCTCAACTTGTACTGCCCTCTATATGCACAATTTTTGCTCACAACTAACTCTGATACTGCCACCTACCCTCATGTATTTAGATGTAGTATAGCTGCACTGTATCATGCAAATAAATATGTGACACACCCTCCTAGCACATCTGAGTCCCTCTATACTGTAAACTACTTTTATCACTTCAAGATTAAGCAAAAGGATGCACTGGGAGTAAGGAGGATGAGTGGGAAGTATCAGCAGAGGTAAGTATCTATCAGAAAAACATTTTCATTGTAGGAAAATGTTAACTTCTGATACAATACCTTACCTCTTCTAACAAAATAGCTAGAATCTCACATTGAAATGGTGAAGAGACTGGTCTAAAAGTTACCTAGATGAGGTATATTTGGAAGGTACCCACAAAAAACCCATGTATAAAGTCGCACCCATGGGAGAACACACCCCATCTCTACCAGGTATACTATTTGTCCATTTTAAAGATATGTGTTGCTAAGCTGAGTGGAAAGATGCATGTCCAGTCTGTAAGCGGACATGCTAAATGGTGTAGACTGGCTAGGGTGTATCAGACAATATTCAGTGTGTCAACTCCAATTCAAAACCAGGTGGCATCGGCCATTTTTCTTCTGGTTCATGGTAGGAGGAGGGTCTCAACTGTCTTCGCATCAAGCCTAGGAATCAGAAGGTAAAGTCAACTTCTGTTCTGGCAATTGAAATGGGCATATGTGTGTGCAAACCCATACACAACCAATCCCAGGACAGCCAGAAACTCAACATCCTACCAGATCAACTCCAGTCCAGAACCTGATGGTGTCAGGAATTTTTTACTTAGTCTGTGGTAGAAGGAGGGTTTCCTACTAACCACGTGTGTGAGGACTTACAGTAACTGGTCCTATGTCGATCCAACACCAGACTACCCAGAAAACAACATCCAGTTAGCAGTAGGATGTGAAAAATCCAGCAGGAGGGGTGAACTGTATGTGGTAGATTAGTTCAGTCCAAAATCAAGCAGCACTGGGAATTTTTCATCCAGTGCACAGTAGGAGGACAGTACTCACCATCTATGTTGAGTGAACACCACCAACATACTCAGGAGGAAGCATCCCTGGTCCACCACTCAGTAGCCAGGAACTGGTATGTGGTAAGTACTCCCATACTCCACTAGAAAAGGGGGGATAAGAATGATATGGGAAGCCCAAAGGAATGCTACACCTTAAAACAATGCAATTGATGATCACAAACAACCCTATTTTGAAAAGCAGGCCTGTCCTGATTTATTCAACCAGGATTGGAAGGTTGGGCAGATATCCAAACTGCTTTACTTATGGATAGTCTACGAGCTGGTGTGGTCTGCTTCGGGCCATATTTATGAAGCAAGATACCATGAGTAACCTCAAGTAGTCTTATGGAATACCTCATCTTTTCAGTGAGTGTTCTAGACCTACACAGCTGTATGGTGTGGATTTATGTTGAAGTACACCTGGACAGGCACCACTCGCCACAGAGCAGAATTCAAGCAATGAGAAAAGGGCTAAGGTGATGGTAAGAAATAAAAAAAAAGAACTTACCCTCTCACAGTCAAAATGAGGTATGGAGGGTGGCAACAGATAACTGGAGATAGCCAAATAATGCAAGTAGTGGGCTACAAAAGTGTGAGGCATAGTACACATGCCAACCTGTACAATCTCCTTCAACAGGCAATGGAAGTGGGCAGCATGGAAGAGGGTGAGATAATGAATTTGGTGACTTGTAAAATGCAATAGGAATCCTCAGAAATGACACATAAGCAAGCTGAATAGCTGGCTAAGCGAACCAGTAAGGGTGACAGGAGAAAGGTCGGGGGTAGAGGATATATTCCAGGGTATAAATAGGTGAGAAAAAGATCCACAAAAGGAAACAGTGCTAGCAACATAACAATATAGAGCACATACATGAAAAAGAAGAGGGTCAGGATCAGCATGAAAATACAAATGAGAGTTGAAAGTGAAACAAGCATGAAGGTTATGTCCTCTTCACAAACTGCTGACATTTTGGAGAAAAACTATGGTCCAGATAAACGAGTACATAGATATGGTGATAAATGCTGTGGGAAATGTTGAAGAAAAGGATATCAGATCTATGATATCCACAAGCAAAAAGGAGCAAGAAATATGTCTCTAGTGAAAGGTAGTTCAAGGTGCAAGTGGCCAAAGGTTCAAATGGCAAAAGGGTAAGGGTATGATGAACCACACTGAGATTCCAGTCGAGCAGAGGTGTCAGATAGGGTGGATAAACCAAATGAAAGGAATGAAACAGAAGAGAAAGAATGGGAGAAGAAAAAATACAGGAGGGATAAAAATTAAAGGTATTAGATATGGCCACCCTATAGCCAGCAAAGGTGAATACTGATAAACCATTGCCGAATATCCAAGTAAATAAATCTGAAAGGTGGGAAACACTGGAATGGGAAGGTGAGAAACCATGTCAAAGAAATCAGCACTGGAAAATTAGGCAATTTCTCTGATAGGCATTCAAGGAAAAAGGGTGGACCAAATGGGACAGAAGGGAGGCTACCTGTGTAGAGAGTCTGCATCGTCCTGCAAAAGACCAGACAAAATCCACACAAGAAGCCAGAATGTGGTGTTAACAGGATAAAGTATGGCAGACTGAGGTTGATGGAAAAGGAATTAGCAAAGTGGAAGAGGTAAGAGAAGGGATGATTAAACGAGGGTCAGGATCAGAAACCATGGTTGAGCAGACCAAAATTGGGCAATGAGAAGGACTCGACATGGAATGCTTTGGATCAAGGAGAGAACATGAGAGAGAAGACAGATAGGAAGATAGGCATAAAGGTAAAGGTTAGTCCAAACCTGACTAAAAGCATTTACCACCAAAACTAAAGGATATGGAACCAGAAACCAAACAAGGGGCAGTTTGGTATTAAGATGAGTGGCAAATACATCTAGAAGTGGGGGACCACTTCATAGGTACAATCTTGTGCAGAAAAGAATACCTATCTCCTACAAGATTTAGAACACTCAGGATGTGACAAGCCAGAAGTGGACTTGCTTAGACTGGGCCCAGAAAAGTAAATCCAATGCTTAAAAGCAAAATGACCGTGAAAGGGTGCCCCCTTGTCAATGGTCAGATTGTCAGAACGGATCATGACCAAATGTCCCCCTGCCGAATGTAAGAAATGATCCAAGGCCTGATAAACTACAATAAGTTCCAATAGATTGATATGAGTGAAGAACTGACCACTGCTCAATGACCTGCAATCTCCTGAGAACCCATACACACTCCCCATCCTGTAAGAGACACATCTGTGAACAGGTGTAAATCAGGACAGGGAGAAAGCAGAGGAATGCCAGCTGAGACATTTTCACTGCTGAGCCACCAGATAATGGAATCCAACAGATCCTGAATGAAATTTTATTGACTGTGCAGCACCCACTGAAGACCACAAATGTGTGCATGACCCCCAGGGTATAAGGGCTTCCATGGATGCTCAAGCCCTCAATAAGAGATAGAACCCTGCATGCAGGGAGAGGAGGGTAGGATTTGGTTTTGGAAACTAAGAGCTTCATCAATCTCAAATGAAGAGAAGAAGGCTGGGTTCTGCTGAGGAAAGGGTTAAAAAACACTCCCAAATGGATCAGGTCATCCATGTATTGATGGGACCACAAACTTTGGTCAGGAAGATGGCAGGCAAAGGCTCTGACCACACAACAGATGACATAAAGCACTGACACCAGACCAAAAGGTAGAGCACAGAATTGGAAAATTAACCTCTGTGAACAAAACAAAGGTAATGTCTGGAAGCTGGAGAGATAGAAATTTGAAGATATGCATCTGAGACGACCTTCGTCAGTCAGACACCCAGAATGAATGCCAACCAAAGTGTGAGAAAAGACTCCATGGTGAAATGAGGGAGGTTGATGAAGCATTTGAAGTGAAATAGGTTGATGATAAGATGCCAATCCACAGTCTTTCTAGGAACCACAAACAGCTGGGAACAGAACCCCAGAGAAGGGTGACAACATTGTTTGATAGTATCCTTGTGCAAAAGATCTCAAACTGCTTCTTACAGATGCTGGCATGAAATGAAATCCCATGGAGTAGTGAGAAAAAATAGACAAGTGAATAACAAGAGGGGAAGAGAAGGGAAGTCCATCTGACTAATTGTACCCCAGCCATGCCAGTACCTATCGGATAGTCACCAATGCAGCTGGTGTCAGAAAACATGGAGATGAGTAATTTGGTGGCTCACCACTGAAAACTGGGAAGAAGGTATTGGTAGAAGGGAAAAAGCAGGGGGGGGGAGATAAGAATTGAAGCAGAAGAAGGTTGGGAAAGACAGGAAACTAAGAAGGATATCTGGCTACATTTCTGGAGACATAGTAGGTTGCATGAGAGCTTTCATTTTGAGATATACCATGGCCAAGATCTCCTATGCAGAAAGTGTGGATCCTGAAGCCACAGAAGTAGTAGATGGATCAGCAGTAGCCTGATTTATGACTGAAATCGTTGTAGTGATGTTAAAGTGAGCATTCATAATGTGAAAATTAAAAAAAAATATTCCATAAAAAACTAAGTATGCAGAAACGAAATTACAACAAACTAAGTTATCAAAACACAGTAAAGTTAAATTAAAATTGCACACAAAAATGACAAATTAGAGCACGAATGCACAATTGAATGGCAAATCAAGAAGTGATGAACGTACTCTACAGTGCAGAGGGAGTCAACTGTGCTAAGAGGGTGTGTCACACTTCTATTGGCAGAGGATTGTCTCATGCTTATTTGTATGCTACACTGCAGCTATACCACATGTAAACACGCAAGTGTAGGTGGGTGTATCAAGGCTAGTAGCAAGCAAAAATTGCACATATAAAGAGCAGCACAAGTCAAAAGAAGCTATTATGTAAGCAAAGGAAAGGTATCATATTGGAAACATTTGGTTTATTCAATAGTTGTAAGCATGACTATATATATATATTCCCTGCATCTCAAGACATCAGAAACATTCATTCAGATTCTAAGAATGTATACAAAGATGTGTATGATGAATGTATTTATGAATCTAAAATGTCGGAAATGTTTTAACTTAGAATCTTCATATTTTATATTAAAGAATTAAGCAAAATATTTTAGGTTAGAAAATTTTAAACAAAGATGGAAGAAATGAAAAAAATCTGAACAGAGAAATTGCTGATAATTTAAAGATAATGTTAAAGAATTTTATATTTATCTCTTTAAACCTATTCTGCCAGAATTATTTACATGATGTCCTAATAATTATCACTATACCTTAAAATTTCCAGTCTATTTATAAAGGTAGATAATAAAGTGTTTTTGATTAGGTTCAGCCAAAGAGACATAAATGTTATCAGATACTGTCACCGTCTAATGGGTAAATCGGGATTTTCGGCTGGATGCTAACAGCATCTGTTCAGGTTTAAGGAATTAATGTATCTGTAATATGACTTTTCCAAATTAACATTAGGTATGGCAAGACTGGATAAATCTGTGGAGCATGTACAACTTATCAGCTGTTAACCAGAATAATGCCTGATTACATTAATGGTGAAGCAGAAATGATACCTTGACCACTCCCACAATTCCCTCAATTAAGGCTTAAGTTTATCAAACATTTTATGCATGTAAGAACATACAATACACTTACCTGAGAGAAAGTTACTACAAAATAATTTATATTGTTGATGTATGGCATGCTTGCACAGTATATTTTGTTAGTTCTCACAATCTTGTGGTTGCAAAGTTAGCTTGTAATTATAATTATCACTTACATTAAATGATGCTGACATATAAGTGGTAAAGAGAAAGGCTTTTTAAAATCGTTTGTGATTTCCCGCAGAAGATCTAGATCTCTAAATAACATGCTCAAAAATGGACCTTGAAAAGTATACTTTCAATCTTGGTAACACAGTTCCAGAACAAAGTTAGTGGTGTAGTGTAAAAATTAATTCAGAAAAATTATTCACAATTATTTTCAACATTATCAGCAATAAAATTTAATGAAAGTACATGTAAGTATGAAGAAAAATAAGAGTACATCTTTACCAAGGCCCCAGTCAATTTCTCCATCCTCTTCTTCTGCCTTTTCCTTTTCTTTTTTCATTTTATCTAATTCTTGCTGTCTTTTCTGTTCTTTCAATTCTGTAACTGTTAGTTCAGATTCTGCATCTTTATCAGTCTCCGGACCCTATAACAAAACAATCACAACATTGAATGATGCCATAGCTACTTATTTTACAAAGTTCGGTTTTCAAATCAAAAGACCTTTAGATATGTGTGCGTGTGTATATTTATATATATATTTATTTATTTATTTATAAAAATTATATGACAGTATGTTAATTTTAACATATCAATGAAGAATGATGTAAAAACATCTCTACTCTTGTTGACTGTATCATACATTTATTTGGCAGAACTGAGTGATTAACTCAATAAACCCATTCACAGCAGCTGGGACGTATATTTCCCAATCCTCCCACCCCCTCCCACTGTGACTGGGACAAATGTTTCCCACTGTTGGTTCTGCTTACGCCTTCCTCTGTAGGGTCCAGGTTCATCATCTTGACTATCATTGCTAGTCTCATTGCTTTTTCATCATCATGCATTTGAACACCACTTGACTCACTTTCACTATCTTCTAAGCTATCTGAGTCAAGCATGTCAAGCATATTTACATAGTAATTAGGGTTACTACTTGCCACTCTAGTGATGCAGGCATGGTTGGCATGCAGTTGTTGTATATTCTGCTTAGGCATCTTGTTGGTTACTGAAGGGCTGAGTGGAAAACACTGAGGGAAACCATATATCAACATTAAGTGGGATGCCAATAAATACTTTTCAACTCATTTTACTCCCATACATCACACACAGAAATTTTGAATGACAATGGAAAACATTTGTCCTAGTCGCAATGTAAGGGAATGGGAGCACTGGGAAATATATGTCCCAGTCACAGTTTAAGGGTTAATCAATATATTCAATTACATCAATTAATGTCATGTAAAATAACTAATTAATCAATATTACAATTAAGTTGATTAATGTCATGAGGATTTGCACCTGAGGATTATTACTTATCTATGTGCATGCACGCATACACATCTCTTCATGTGAAAAATCACACAGAAAAGAAATGTGTTGTTTGTGCGTGCGTGCATGCACATCTTTTTAATGAGGCAAGCTAGCAAAAAACCACAAAAAAAAGAAGTGGTTCATTATATTACAAATAGAAATCACTGTGGGTTCCTCGTTATCACGTTTTAATTCATCTTGGGTAGAAAGAAATGGTCAGGAAAGAGGAGAACATAGGAATGATGGAACAATATACGGCAAATATTAAATGCAAAGACAATAAAATGACGGTAACCACATGCCATCAACAATAGGAACAAGGACTTTAATGAAAGGTGATATAGTGAGCAAGATTATAAAGGTTCAAATGGTGGATGAGCAACAGCATGAAGGACAACACTGAGGTTCCAATCAGGGAGAGAAGCAGGGCAGGGAGGATGGGCAATGGAGAATGAATGAAATAACATAAGGCAGGACAGGAGATTGGAACACAGACACAAGTTTGGTAAATCAAAAAGTGGAAGATAAAGCTGCCCTATAACCCCACAATAGAGAAAACTGAGAGGCCCCTGTCATAAAGCCAAGTGAAAATGGATGACAAGTGAGGAATGGTGAATCCAGAAGATTGGTAACCCTGGCATAGAGACCAAAAGTGGTATGCAGTCCATTTATACCAATAAACCACCAAGGAGAATAGTCAAACAGGAGGAGAAATTAGGGAGTCAACATCACTGGAGAGTCCAGACCTCTAGCAAGGGACTCGACAAAAGCCATGCATGAAGATGGAGTACGGATAGGGAAAAGTGACACATGCTGGAGTGAGGCTGACAAAGGAGCATGGGACATAATGGGAGAGGAACTGGTGGTGAAACCAAGAGACTACGTAGGAGTGGAAACTACATCTGAGCTGGACAATATGGGGCCACCAACAAGCAGTATTCTGAACTATCGAAATGATATGAGGAAGAAGCCAAATAGGATAAGTATATAGGTAACAATTAATCCAATTCTGGCTGAGAGCATCCACTGCATCCGCCTGCAGATAAGGAACAGGCAACAAAAAATGGGAAAGTGTTGCGTTTGAAGGAGATGCAAAAGCATCGAAATCAGGGATACCTCAATGAGCACACAACTCCCGAAAAATGACAGGATCCAAAGACCACTCCTTTGGTAGAATCTTGTGAGTATGGATAAACAATCTATGACCAATTTCATGGCACCCAGAACATGACATGCCAGCAAAGTAATGTGATGGCTGTGAGCCTAAAAATTATGACCCAGTGTTCAAAAACAAAAGTCCCTCAACTGGGTGCCTCTTTGCTTGGAGATATAGGACACCAAAGTCAAATTGTCCAAGTGCACCATCACCACCTTTCCCAAAGAGACAACAGAAAGTGAATAACAGCTCACTGAACAGCTCCAAGATATTGATATGAAGAGTGGTTTCTGTAAGAGTTCAATGTTCTGAAACTTCTTGACCATCATGATATGCTCCCCAATTAGAAAAGGAAGCATCGGTAAAAAGGTGAAAATACATTGAGGTGGATGTAGAGGAACCCATACAGTAGTCAGTAGTATTGGTCCATTCTATTCACAAGGCAAAGTCCATCAGTAATGGAAAGAAAAGGGTAAGAGGAGCCTCCAAGGAATCCCGAACAAAGCTCCATCAGTTGATTAAAGCCACTGAAGATGATGCATATAGACATGACCCAGAAGAATGAGGGCCAAGAGAGAATCTCACATCTAAAAAAAGAAATAGAACCTCTCAGGTAGAAAAAAGAAGGTGAGGAGGAGTCCAAGCAAACGAGACATTCCATATCTCATAATCGAAGTGGAGAAGGCTGGGGTTAGCTGAGAAGTGAACTGAAAAACACCACAAGATGAACCAGAAACTGGGTAGTAGTGAGAAACAATTTCTCCACCTTGATGAGTTAACCAACCCTGTCATCTTCCTGATGAAGAAACTGAGTATGGAGGAGAGAGTCGGCCTCAAAAGATGCCAGCAATAACCAGTCGTCCATGTAATGGTGGAAACAAAGGCCCTGAGAATGAAGCAGTCGAGCAAACAACTGGCCAACTTGGCAAAACATATAGAGAGCAAAAGCTAGGCCAACAGAAGTGTTTGAAAGTAAAAAACACACTCATGATGAACATAATTAAGGAAATGTTGGTATGCTGGGGAGATGGAAATATGAAGATAAGCTTTCGACGCATTAACCTTCATCATTAACAGGTCTAGAGTGAAAACCCAATGAAGAGTTAAGTACAACTCCATGGTGAACTTGGGAATGGTGAGGAAGCAATAAATCAATAACTGGGTGCCAATTTCTTGTCTTTTTGGGAATGACAAACAGACGAGAATAAAACCCTGGACAAGAAGAATCTTCTTTTTCGATGGCATCCTTGCTAAGTAAAAACCAAACTACCTCTGACACATGGTGGGATGAAATGTGACCCGGCAGAAGGGGGGAGGAAATTGGATGGGGAGACAGTGGTGGGAATGACAGAAAACAAAAAGCCGGACCGTCAGAAATAACCTTCAAATCCATGGATTTACTGTAAAAGACCTTCAAACATGGGTGATGTGTAAGAGTCTGGCCCCCACTGGCCCTGACTCGAGAACCAAGTCACCAATGCTGAATGCCCCAAACACAACAGGCAGCCCAACAACTGTGTCAAGCTGATGAATGAGAAGTTGGGACTGGCAAAGGGTTAGAAGATGAAGGGTGTGCCACTGAGGCAGGAACAGGTGTTTGGGACAAACGAGAAGCCAACGAGGATATGAGGTGATATAAATGGACTGATTCAACCCTAGACTCCAAGTCTAAATAGGGGTAGTAGTCCCGATAAAAAGCAAAAGCATAATTGTCTGATGTATGTGGGGAATGAGACATACTGACCCTTGCTCTCAACTATTTCCCCAAAGGACTAGAATGAACCCCAATATCTGGAGAAAGTGGAAAAACCAGATATTGATCCAAAGATTTGTCCCCAAGTAGGGTTGGGTAGAACCATATAGGAAACAGGAGCCAAAGCCCAAATTAATCATATCTGATTAATCAATTCAACAAAGGGAGGAGGAAACCTGGGCAAGTCCCCCGATACCACATGCAACTGAGAAGCATATTCAGGAGGGAGAAAAAGATTGTCCAGATTCTCATCATCCCTGTCAGCCATACAAGGCACTGTTATGATAGGATACTCCTCAGGTGGTAGTGAATGTTGCATGAAATTAGATATTCAAAAAGGATCATAGTAGTCACATCATCAGCCGATAATTGTGGGATCAACCCTGAAGACTTGGTTGGTAATCCTGCTGGTGGCAGGAACAGCAGTGGTAGTAGTAACTACTTGAAACTGTGATAGCATAATTACAAAGTATAAACTCAAACAAAAGAAACAAAATGTACCCCCCAAAAAAAAAGTCAAATATTCTGAAATTTGAGAGTGAAAACAAACACAACAGTAAGACTGCCAACTGGAAGTAATTAACAAGTGCATTATTAGAGAGGGCACTAGTTATGATAGGGTAGTGTCACACTCCTATTAGTGGAGGGTTGCTGTATAATCATTTGCATGTAGATAGGCAGAGATAAGTGAAAGTTACAAGGCTAGTTGTGAGCAAATAATTTGCACCAATAGAAGATGGTACTAATCGAGAAAGCTTTCTGTGAGAGAAGGTAAGATATCGCATCAGAAAAAATATTTCTAATTTACTAATAAATAAAGATTTCAATAATTCATGACTTCTGATGTTAAGTAACGATGAAATAATTTACAAGGTCTAAAAACCTTAAAGGGGATATTGCTGTTTCAATACATACTATTTACTTTACAACTCTATACTTCATTTAAATTTATTGGTTAATACATTTATTAATATACCAATAGCATTATCTAATTTTTAGTAAATACTAATAACATTATATTAATAAAAAAATTAAAAAATCTTATTACCTTCTGTATTTATAAAAACTGTAATGTTTTAAACACAATACTTGCAAATAGGCTGTTGGTATCCCTAAAAAATGTTCATTATTCTTCTACTGTTAAGAGCTTGTATATTTAAATCATTTTTATGATAGTTTGTCTATGATAGATACCTTAAATTTAGATTTCTTTACTTCAATATAAAGATGCATAGATCCACTGGCATCTCTTCCTGTTGTAAAACCATTCCAATTCTTAACTTTGAATCAAACTTTATATAAAAATGCATTATTTTTTGCATCATATTCTAACAATGAATATGAATTGAACCACCCTCATTGAATATGGCAGCTGTTTCTACAGTACCTCTTAAAAACAGCTTCTGTAAGCAGATTCAATATTTGAAGGTTTTTTGTTGGCTTGCTTTGAGAATCTTCTGTTGAAAAAAATCACAATAAATGTTTATTCAAAGCCAACTGTGAATGTGTTGGCCGTTACAGCTTTTAGAAAAGGATGCAAACATTGTCTGGAGATTTTGAATGTTTCCATGAAATTATTTCATTGGGTGTATTCAAAATCAGAGCTAATCCATAGCTGCTATGTAAATATGAGTTCTTAATAACCAACTTTTCTCATGCTCTATGAGATCAGCCACACCTTGTAAAAAGGAGGGAAAATATTTTGCTCCATTTAAAGTACTTCTGAGTCATATTTTGTTGGTTTTTATGTAATTTCTGATGGTCGTGGTTGATGTCATTTAATGTAAGATGTTTTCTGATTTTGAAATAATGGATTAATTCTAAACACTTATAGTTATTTTTTCATTTAATTCACACAGGTTTTGGTTTCTATAATTATAGATAATATTACAGACATGTGGTCATTATCTGCTAACTTATCAACTACTAGTCCCACAAATGAAGCATAATTCTTCAGTCTGTCATGTTATGATTATTTCACTCTTAACAGTCAGTTTCTTTCCATTCAAAACCACACAAGAAGCAAATATGTAGCAACTAAACAATGCTCAATAGTTGTATTTTAGTGTTGAATGTAATAATTCTAATGAGCTATTCACAACAGATAAAGCAATGTAAGGAACATTTATTGTTCAACTGACATTGCTGGGAATTCCTATCACTGACCAGTCCAAACAAATTTTCTGAAGTTATAGGTGTAGTAAGTAATGCACTAATGTAATATAGCACTTCCTACTTACAATTCAGTATAATATATGGTAGTAATGCAATTATTAGTACTCTAATGTTTCGTACTAATTAAACCATCATGTATCAGTAAGTTAGAAGATAAACCAAAATTTAAGGCAATTTTCAAAACTTACATAAAATAAAGATATAAGTTAGAAAGTTAATATCCACAGGGCTATAAATAATCTCTTTAGAAACTTTAGATCTTTTACAATTTTAATATAGAGTTTTGAAATCATAGTATAAAAACTAATCATGTTATTTAAAGGAATTTTCTTAAAGCGTACTGAGCAGTATTTTTACCTTAATTATGATTTATACATTAGCTTTGGTATTACTACTAATATGTAGAAGTTATAAATGTAACTGGCAAAATCTGTAATTTTATATTTAACAGTTAAGTTTTAAATTAACAGGTTATTTGGCAGTATTCATAACAGGTTTTCCTGAAACAGCATGAAACCTGAATTTAACTAAATTTCTATAGTTTTGGAATTTCATAATAATTTGGTCATTCTGAACGTTAGCAGATTTAGAAGTAAGTATTTTTTTAAAAAAACATTTGTAACACTCTTTACAACAAGATCAGCTTGCTTGTAATATGAATAAAATTAGTAGAATTTAGCTCACTAGTTACAGTTTGACCAAATAATCTTACTCAAGTAAAGTTGAATTTACATCCTGTTTCAGACATTCTGTAATGCTTTTTCAAGGACAACTGATTTGTCAGTCCCACTTAACATCATTTGTAATGAGGATAAATGAAATTAAGAAAAACCCATGAGAACTGAAGTGCAAGAAGAGGGTAAATAAAAAAAATCATACATCACAAAAATATGCTTTGTACACTTGGTTTTATAACCAATGAACATATTTACATGATAAAGACTATCCAGTGTTGCTACAATCTGAAAAACACCAAGTGAAACAGCTATTAAATCTTGTACTGTAGCCTCACATTAAAATACATGTGATTTTACTTATTACTTTTCTTTTAATCTCAAAAAAAATATCTAACCAATATACCATTCTAACCAGATTACTAAGATTATTTTTCCAACTAGAAAAATATGATATCCTCAAAACATAACATATATTTCACACAATTTATAATCTAAAATACCAAAATTAATGGTTATTTACAACTGAAAATGTAAAGCCACAAGCATACAGGAATATATATGGGACTGGTAATGTACATGCATGTATGTGAAACTATTTATTTCATCACACACTAGTAAGGTTTCTTAAAAAGTATGTTAGTAAATAGAGAATGAACACTGGAACTAGTTACAATTAAGCCATTTTTTCTTTTCAAAATGAATCAATGTCCAATAGTAAATAGAGAATGAACACTGGAACTAGTTACAATTAAGCCATTTTTTCTTTTCAAAATGAATCAATGTCAAATAAATCATCTAAGATAATACAGTATCTTTAAAGTCTTACGCAAGTTGCATTCATAAAGCAAATATATTATGATGCTTTAAGGTTTTGTCTCAAATAACTTTGGTAGGTGTGGGTAAGATTTTAAGGAAAAAACAACTGAAGTGTTATGGATTGTAGTGAATTCTTCTAAATGAAAATGGATCTGATTAATGATCAATAATTGAGCTTGAAAATCTATTGTCTTTCTTCAAGAGGCAAGATCACCTTTACAGAGGGTTTTAGTATATTTCCATTAAGTCATATCTATACGCAGCCTTATCTACTTCTTTGTACAAATTCAGATATGAATAACATATTTTTAGTCATACTCTTTCTTGTAATTACATGTAAGATAATAAACTAAAGCATTGTGTACTTTTTGCAACTTTTAAGTCTGTCTTATTTAGAAGATAGTCCTGTATGTTATAACAGGATTTACCTGTAAAATATACAGTCTGCTACTCCCTCCAAACTTCAACATATGCCCAACTCGAATAGGACAGTACACCTTGGATTTGAGCCGCTGTTTGTTAACATAAGTACCATGTGTGCTTTCCAAGTCATAGATGTAAAATCCTGAAATTATATAAAAATGTTGGTTACAAGTAAATTAAAAACATTCATACACATTTAATAAATTGCTGTACTTACTTGTTAACATATCTGTGAACTAATGGACAATTAAATGGAATTGAAGACTGAGTGTACTTAGATATTCAAAATACTTTTGTTAAAGTGTCACACAGAAGATTAGCTCAAAACAATTCTATTAATATAAATTGGGAAAAAAGATTAATGAATTGGACTGCAGGGTCGTTTGGTGAAATAAGTCAAAAGACTGTTATTAATGGAGTCCAGTAAAATATTGTTACTCAAGAAATGCCTCAGGGGTTAGAGCTAGGGTGCTTGCTTTTTCTTATTTAAACAGGGCTTGAAATTAACTTTTTCAATCTACTGGCAAGTGTTTCAACATTACTGGCAAAAGTTCCTGCCACACTAATAAAAGAAAAAAAAGCAATTATTTTGAGAACAACATTTCCGTTTATTTATACACATTTTGAAGATTGAGTTGACATAGTCTGCAAATGTGTTAACAAATTGTGTTCCTTCTTCCCTCTTTTAAAATATTTATTTCAGTAAGGGTGAAAACTTGAACTGCAGAATCATTGACCACACAACTAATCTACTGACTGCTTTTTTTTTTGGTTGCAACTTTTGTTGTTCTTCAGAGCTGATGATAGTAATCCTTATTAAATTGTCAGTTTTGTATATGTCCAGACTGCAGTGTCAATAATTTTTTGTTTTCTCTTCATGATGCTGAAGCCTACAGTAGAAAGGAGGTAAATGTTGCAGAGAGGAACTACTTTCAGAATGTTCTTAAAAAAAAAAAGACTCCTCTAACAGAATCATTCTGGCTTATAAAAGGTCAGTTAGAATGTGAATTAATACCAGTGAACAGATGGCCAGTCTGCCTGATGTATGTTTTCACCGGTGTTCAGTTACCTAAGATAGACTGGGTGTCACAGCCACAATTAGATGTTAAACTTGCTCTGTACCATAAATTCTGGTTAAATCACATTTGTTGCTGTAAAATGCATCTCAGTTTGGTCCGCCCTAAAGCATTTGTTCAAGACATCCCCAATGGTTAAAAACAATATTTTTGTCATTTGTCGGACCTTCTTTAGTTTTTACATCATTTATTGAGTGCCCCTACAACTGTATATCCTTACATACATGCAAGAAGCCACTTCCCATTAGGCTTTTCTCACATTGCATAGAAAAAACCATGGTTTGTACATGTTCTAGTCTGGCCAAAGTATTCTGTTGAAACAACCAAGAGATTTTGCTAATTTCTCCAAAACAACATCTTGAAGTAGAAACATATAAAAAGCAAAGTGAAATCCTTTAAGTTTCCAAAAAAGTTCACACACAGTTGTTCTACCTTCACTAGACTTCTCATTATTGTCCGAAATGTTTTCCACGTGCACAGTTATGCTTGGATAGTTATTCAAAAGTTTATGAAACAGAAGAACCTGCAACAATTTCTAAAGCTATCTGACAATGATGTTGTTTTATTAGATGTTGATCACAAGTTTGAAAGTTGGTTCAACTCAAATGAAGAAGCAGAAAAATATATGAAACTAAATTAAATTAAAATAAATGTATTCTTTAAAAGAATGACTAAATATAAGTAAATAATTTTTCAACTTAAATAAAAAATAAATTATGTAAAAAAATACAAAATTAAATCCAATATAAAAACAAAAAACAGTGAATCAACTATTATAAACCTATACTAAGTTCTCATAACTTAAAAAAATATAAATATACATATGCTCACAATATTGAGTGCATTTCTTTCTAGCAACTGAAAACTCAATTGCCCAAGCTTTGACTTGACATAAAAGTCCTTTTTTTTTTCTTTTCTTGTAGAATGACTTCATTATTTCTAACAAACCACATGAAACAAATGATTCAGAAGACACTTGCTCATGTAAAAACTGGTTTCCACAAGGCAACATATGCCATAGAAAAGATGCCTTGTGGAAACCAGCCTTTAGTAGATATAACTCTTTCAGCATGGGCTCGGTCCCTGGGACCAACCTCATAGCCATTTTGTGCTTGTTATAGTTTACATGCTATAAATTTTAAATTAGTAAGCAAATGTTATTGAAATTTGGCAGATTATCAGTAAACAGTAATGCTTTCATATACACAATATCAAATTTTTTTTATTAAGTCTTAAGGTTTCTAAAGCAATGTTTTTCTCATGTCTTTTTTTCTTTTTGCATGTTACATATCTATCAGCAAAGTAATATTCATTTTAAGATTAAAAATACTTTTATGCATCAGAAAATTTTCAAATTTCACATGCAAAATCTTTATAATGTCCATATAATTATCAAATGTTTCTTAAGAAAAACTTAATATTCTATCTGTTACTTTCAGTAATTAATCTCCGTATGGGTTCGGTAGATTTGACCGATCTCACAACTACCATAAAAAATTAAGAAATAAATATAAATCATGCCTCTTTCATTCTAGAATGAATGCAAATTAGGACACAAAAACATACATGTTTAGACTAAATAGCTTAAATCTCATAACATTATACATTTATTACTTTATTATATTGACCTTTCACCCATGCTTGGCTAACAATACTGAAGTTACAATGATGCAGCTCATGTGCACTCATGTTACCATATCAAATAACATAAAACTGACCTTTGATCTGTATAAAAGTAGCTTGTCTTGGCTGTGTTTTAGTA